TACACGTATCATCCAGCGAAGGCGGGCATGGAAACTAGAAAAAGCTCGTTTTTTGCCATTTTCATGCTCCGCAAAGCCCAGGTAGGTTTCAGCATGGCGATAAGGCGAAAAGGTGAAGAACTAGAGAACGAAATTTTGAGGGAACACTGCCTTTAAGGCCACATATCTTGTATCCATATGTAAACTCGAAGAACGAAAAGTAGTGGAGAGAAGCTTTTAATATAGGAAGGTTACTCACAGTTTTTACTGCCACAAAAAAGTCGTCAGCTATTTGATTAAGGTTTCTATTCTGAAATTTCTATCAACTATGTTTTCATTGTTTGTAGGTGCGAAATCCCTCTGCAATATACGATCGCGCTGTAGAACACGAGAGTGAGTTCTTCGATGGCGGCAAAGAAGGAGCCAAAGACGCACAGGTGAGTTTTTACCAACTTTTTATATTTTCTTCTTTAAACTTATAAGTTCAGAGTCACAAGCGGCGTGCAGATAGTCCAGTCAATCCCGCCGACGATAAAAAGCCGAAAACCGAAGATGATGCTGGTGCGCCTCCCATCTAGTTCTTCGCACGCATCCCATAATCCTCCATATTGGAGCTATGTAGAGAAGAATAGTCAGCAGTATTTTCAACTTGAGTCGTCTGAAGTGAAACTGTGAGATTTACATGGTTTTGTTGTGAAGGATAAGGATAATTTGTTGATCTTCCTGCCGAGTGCATGTGTATATCTGTCTGTGTATAATTTATGAACTGATCTTCAAATATACGGTTTCATGTTCTCCCTTTTTTTCTTTGAGCTAACTCCATTTTTGTTATGTCATATGCATGTAGCTAGACTTTACTCTTACAATGATTGTTTTTTTTTGCAATTAAGGACGTCATTTTTTGTACTATATACGCATTAAAGGAATCTGTTTTGTTTCGATAACGGTCGATTCCAATATATCTTTTGTCTTTTCTCTCCCTTTTCAGCCGTTTACTGCTTACGTTTAGATGGCAGAAGGTGATGCTATAAGCGCTAATGATTTCTACGTAAGATACTACGTAGGCCATAAGGGTAAGTTCGGCCACGAATTCTTGGAGTTCGAATTCCGGCCGAATGGACAACTTCGATATGCCAATAACTCCAACTACAAAAACGACACCATCATTCGAAAGGAGGTAAGAAGTCTTTTTGATCGAAATTTTTAGATGAAAACATGTTCTTTCAGGCCTTCATCTCGCCTGCTGTTCTTCAAGAGCTGAAGAGGATTGTTGAGGATTCGGAAATTATGCAGGTTCGTGTGATCACATTTGAGTTGTCTCTTGACGATGCTTGTCAATAAGGAGTTTGTTTTTT